TAGTAGTGGCAGAATTTCGAGGAATATTAGTCACTGAATCACACAGGGCAACAAAATCAAGAAAAGTGCTCGAACGGATCAGTTAACAATTTTTCTTGGATTAAAACTTGCTTGGACTAAAAACTTTCAAACCCAGCTAAGCAACTCTAAGTTTAAAAATGGATTTAAAAAGAAGAAATTCCAAGTTTTTGAGATAATAAAGTTTAGTAAATATTTGAAGGTCATGGCTTTTTATAATGCCTAACAAAATTAAAATGCCTATAGGAGCAAAAAAAGTGGAACTTCACAATTTCTTTAAAAAATTCTTTATATTTTCAATGTCTTGGTAACTTAAACATTTCTAAAAAAAGTGAAAATAGTTTTAATTTTAAATTAATATTAATGTCTGAAACTGCCTGTCTGAAACAAAAATTGTTCACCCTACGAAGCCTTTTAAAGAACGTTCTTTATGATTTAGTTGAGAATTTCGGAGCGTTGAAAAATTTCGAGCGTAATTTCATTGCAAACAACTAACACAATTCGCTTTCTCAAGCGACCTTGTAGGCATTAGGCTTGTTTGCCTAGTGGTCATACAAATGACTTAACGACGTCGCATGCCTGAACGTGTGCGTATTTTTAGTATTTTCAAACAATTCGGCGCTATTTTCGACCATTTCTCGAATTGGTCAGCCTCACATATGGCGGCGCGCCGCCACACAATTCGAGTCTACAATAACAACTCGCCGTTTGCCGCAATGCTTTCATTAAACCACTACAAATTTCTTTTATTATTGTTGTTTGCGCGTTTTTGGCACTTAATGACACTTATCGCCACCACCAACCGACCAACCGACCGGCCGTTAACCAGGTGTCGGAGGGGTAATGGCGTTGGTGTTTGCGGTGGCGACGCGCCAATACGCTAAGAATTTTATTACGGACGTGCAGGCGGTTTATTTTTAGTCGCCAACACACTCATTCCACTTAAAATAACGCACGCGATTGTCGGCACCTCAGCGCTTCACCGCCGCACCGCTGCTTGTTGGCCAAGTGCCATAATTGCTTGTATATCCAATTGAGGCGCGAGCGTGCGCCGCCGTCAATGGCATTAATGGCATGCAGCGCTGCCGCAGCTTTACAGCCATATGCCAAAACGACCGCGGGCGAGCACTCGCGGTGGAGGTGATTTCAATAGCGACGACGCTGAGGGCCATTCTACGTTGCATTGTTCACGCGCGGTGGGCGGTGTTAGGCGGCTGTGTGCGCTCATCGATCTATTTTGGGTTTGGAAAGTGCATTGCATTCAAACTGCAAATAAGCTCTGAATCAGCAGCCTCCACAGAAGTAATAAAAATTTTGTTTTTGCTCTGTTTCTTGCAGTCAAATAAACCAATTATGGAAAAACGCCGACGCGCTCGCATCAACAACTGCCTAAATGAGCTGAAAACACTGATTCTGGACGCGACCAAAAAAGACGTAAGTATACTTTAAAAAACACCTACTAGTATACCTTCGACTGCCATTTCATTATTTTCACTGCGATACTTTGCACTCTTCCACAACATCCTCCCCCAACCACCTTTGCTCAAATTGATTTTAAAGCATCGCCTCCGCTTTTTTCTTGTTTATCTGCAGCCCGCGCGTCACTCAAAACTAGAAAAAGCCGACATTCTGGAGAAGACTGTGAAGCATCTGCAAGAACTGCAGCGCCAACAGGCGGCTATGCAGCAAGCTGCCGACCCTAAGGTCATCAATAAATTCAAGGCCGGTTTCGCTGATTGTGCCAACGAGGTCAGCCGCTTCCCTGGTCTGGATCCCGCAGTGAAACGTCGCCTGCTTCAGCACCTCAGCAACTGCATTAACGGCGTTAAGTCCGAGCTGCACCAGCACCAGCGGCAAATGGCAAGCGCTCCATCCCAGATGCTGCCCTCACCGCCCAGCTCGCCGGAACAGGATCAGCACCATCTGCAGCATCAACATGTCGCTGCTGCTGCCACCGCTGGTAATCCCTTCCTCTTGGGCGCGCAGTTGCAGCACACAATGAACGGCTATTTCCTGCCCAATGGCCTGCAAGTGATCCCCACCAAACTTCCCAATGGCAACATAGCGCTGGTGTTGCCGCAACATCAGCAGCACCACCACCAACAGCAGGCGCAGCAGCACACAACAACACATATGCAGCACCAACAGTTGAGCGCAGCTCAAGCTGCCGCCGCCGCCGCTCTAATGACCATGCCCACCCGCACCGCCTCCACCAGCTCTGCCTCTTCGCACAGCTCATCCGTTTATGAGCGCACCATCTGTTCGCCGGCCAACAGTGTGACGCACTACGCACCCCCCAGCCCCGCCAACTCGTACGAGGCCATGGACTGCAAACCCTCGGTCATTCAACACGCGCCAACTCTTTCCCAACAACAACAACATCTGCAGCAGCAGCAGCAGCAGCAACAGCAAAACCAGCAACCGCTCTCCCTGGTAATCAAGAAGGACATTAAAGTGGAGGATGAACAGCCTTGGCGGCCATGGTGAAGAGGCTGGCGCCAGCCGCGCGCGCGCACCCACCAAAAGAACTGGTCAACGCCCCCTTTCCATAGAAACGAGGGGCAGACGTGATGAATACCAAAGCTAGGAGAGCTGACAATAGCTGGCGGCGGCGAGGCGGTTGCGTTCGCCAGCAGATGGTGGCAGTGGAATGCATTGGGATGTCTGGCGAAAAGTCAACGGCACCCACAAAGTTTATTCGGACTCATTTCGCGCACTTACCTTAGTGTAAATGACGTTGAAGTTGAAAATATCCGCATCCGTTGGCAGATCGCGCGCGCCACCTCAGCATCGACCATCACACAGGCAGCAAAGCAGCCACTGGGTGTGACGCACGTGTTCCGCCGGCTGAGCACACGCCGATATGCATCCAGAAATACCAACATCGGAATGATTCAAGCACGAAAGCATTGGCAAAGCATTGATCGACAGCACTTAAGTGACTTAGTAAGTAACCACTACCTCAGCAATACAGGGGCGATTTTGCGGTTTGTCGCGCCTCAGGGGCGCTTCATTTGAATTTCTCAGCTATCTCATTGGAGTATTACAATTAGAATAACTAATATTGACGTATCGTCGGTGTATTTAGTCATTAATTATTTATAATTTCAAATGAAAAATGCAAATGATTTATGGTTTGCAATACACATTGCTTCATTTATTAGCAATTTTATTTTTTCCATTTTCCAATTTAATTGTACATATTCCGTATATAGATACATTGTGCGAACCATACCATGAATACCAAAATATTTGTGTGAACGCCTATTTATGTATAAATAGTGCAAGTATGTATTTAGAATTGCAGAATAACCACAACAACAGATGTTAAAAAAAAAAAACAATCGAAAACAATAAAATCTTTGAGGTCTTCCCAATTTGTAGAGTATGTAACTTGTACTTGTGTACTTATTTACATACATGCATATGTTAATATATTTAAATATTTAATATGTATACATACATATGTAATAATTTTTTAGTCATAAAATTAGAAATAATTATTTATCTAGTTTTTAAAATTTAAAACTTTCCAAAAATGAAAAAATACCAGCAAGAAAACAAACACAAAATAATAAAATGCAAAATTATTAACGGTAACGTAACATATTTCAGGCATTTTAATTTGGTAAACGAAAATCTCGTCGATAGTGGTATATCTACCAGTAACGGGTAAGGGGAAACCAAAATGGTCAGCAATATTTAGTAGTTAGTATAGGCAATTTAGAGTCGAAAATTGATGATCCGTCGATTTTTAATTATGGTGAATTAGATTGTGGAATAGCCATTTCCGTACCTCAATTAAAATATGGCCAAGCGATAGTTGGCGTTACCCAAAAATTTAATTTAACAATTTAAAAATATTCAAAAGTTTAGTCACGCGATCTGTGTGCCTAATTTCATCTAAATCCGTCCGAAAAGCCTCGCATGGTTTGGTTTCTCTAGCTGCTTAATTTTAACAAAGGGGCCCTTGCCCATAATCACATCACCAAGTGTCGGAGAAGATCAAAAGTGGAAAATAGTAAGCAGACGGGCTTGGAAAAAAGGGTACTTGGAAAAAGTTGGGCCCGCCTCTCGCTTTCTGCAGTCTCAAGATTAGGCAGTTATTCTTAAGAGAAGCACGTACAAATTGGGAACACCCGAGCTCTTTTGGCCAGAATGGGACATGAGAATATCGCATCATCTCGACGCGCTAATAAGGAGGGAGAATATCGTTAGACAGGTAACTATTTACAGGTCGCATGCTTTCACGGAGACACGCGGAGTAGTAAGCAGTACTCTAAAATGTTTTTTCTAGAAGTTGAATTGATGAGGAAGATTCTGAAACAGGGCATCTACATACTCTGTTACAATACCAAGACACAGACCACAAATTGGGGGGTAAGCTCGGCCAAAAACTTATCAAAAATGTAAGTGCCAAGTATTTTTTGTTTTTGTTACGTCAAAGGCGACGATTACTAACAATCGTTGAATCCAGGAACTACATAGTTCAAAGAGAAATAGAGGTTTCGACATCTCTGTAGTAGGCCTGTGTGTTCTGACAGTAGCACCAGCAGCAAGTTGAGCTTAACCTAAACTTGGATAAGCCTTTCCTCCAATTTGTAGTATGGACACAAGCGAAGGGTTTAACTTCAAACCAGGGTTGCCAGATGTCCGGACAGTCCGGATTTTAGTCTGTTCGTCCGGGTGACAATAAAAAAAAACGGACTATGAAGTGTGTGATCCCTCTTCCCCCTCCCCCGTTTCATCCCCTCGCCAAACGAAAAGTATCCGGGTTTTCAAAAACCGGACACCTGGCAACCCTGCCTCAAGCAGTCATGGCAGAATGTGGATAATTCCATCGTATCAAAAGTGAGACGGCCACTAAACTTAAATAAATTTAAATTTGAGTGTATATTCACTTTTCTTCTGTTTTTGTTTTCGTTCTTAAAGTTATTCGTCTGGTGTTGTTTTCTGACGTTCCAAGTGGCCGCGAACTGTTACCTTCTTGAGCTTTAAAACAAAAAAAAAAGTTAAAAAAATTCATATGTATGAATAAAAATACATATATATATATATATATATATATATCTGTAATTTTTAGCGCACAATGCAGACACATGTATACATCCATATACATAAATATAAGTACGTATACGTATGTATATTAGGGTGCCCATGGATTTTTTTTTTTTAATTTCAAGACCCTACCCCCTTAATTTCCTTCCTTTTTATGAGAAATATTATTGCCTATTTTTACAGATTTTTTAAAAATCATTAAGAGGTCGCGACTTATCATTTTAGATAAAGAATACGGTTTTTTGATTTATCAGTGTTTGAATGACTATTTTTCCTTCGATTTTAAAGATCGAACATGTTGTGCGAAAAGGATTTATATGCCTCTAAAATGAGGTATAATCTATTGTGAGACTTGGATTGTTGGGCGCTTTCATCGGGGGGAAAAAAACACAATTTTTTCATAATTTTTAAAATTTTGACTACCACTTATTTCCACAATTTCAAAATATGGTTTTTTCAAAAAATTTTAAGAAAATGGGGGTGGCACCGCCCACTAATATCACGTATGTGTACCTCAAAAACTACTTCATCGATCGTGACCAAATTTGGCATACACATTGCCATTAGCCTCCTTATACATAGTCTTTAAAACTTTTGAAATCGGATAAAAGTCAGGGGCTCCACCCACGTAACGGTAATTTAAAAAAAAAAACTCAAAGCTAGATATATTTCAAGATGTTGCTTAAAAAGCCTAAGCGCAATTTGTATACCAAATTTGGTCGAGATCGTTGGAATAGTTTTTCAGATACACATATATAATATAAGTGGGCGATTTTCCATTTAAAAAAATTTTTTCAATTTCGAATAAATATTGATGAATTCCTTAGCCACACTGCCCAAAATATATAAGAGTCCAGTACTCAGACACATATAAATAATTTCAAGGCTGTATTTAAGAAAAGTTGCCTAACTTCGACAGTTTTTATTCGATTGCAATAAATGGGGTATCAGTTTATTTGAAAATAAATAATTTTCGATAATACTACATATTTTGAAGTTGTGGAAATTAGCGACCTTTAAGATCTAATAAAAAATAGTCATGAAAAAACTGATGAATCTCCAAAACCGTATTTTTTTACCTAAAATGAGAAGTCGCGACCTTTAAATGATTTTTAAAAAATCTATAAAAATAGGCAATATAATTTCTCATACAAAGGAAGTAAATTAGGGGGCAGGGTCTTAAAAAATCGATAGGCACCCTAATGTATATGTCAAAAACGCTCTGCAATCGAGAATAAATTGCAGCGAGACGAGGCCTGTGTGGTGGTCGCATTGAAGCGTGCGTTCTTTTGAATTGCATTTTTTTTTTGTTGCTAATGGTGGTTTTAGTGGTGGTTTGGTCGCGGTCACAGTCGTAGTCGGTGGTCACGGTGTGTCGCTTCGCAACGCCTAGTTTAAGCCAAGTTCATTAACTGACATTCCAAGCTAATATCGCAATTTGAGTTCACGCGCGTGTGCCACCGCCGTTGCCAAAGTCACAGTCACAGTCACAGTCACAGTCACAGTCACAGTCGCAGTCGAAGCCTAAGCCGAAGCCGGTACCATATTTTTAAAAACACTCATTTAACAAGACAATTAAATGTTTCAACGCCGCGCGTCTCTATGCCGCCATGACCAATACAATGCAACAATTCGCATCAGCGACGTCGAAGCGTGAATCCGAGCATTTAAAATTCAAATTACAATTAAAATATGAAATTTATTCGAATCACGTTTTAGACGACTTTGCCGGCTTTTAGCCATTTATAGTATATGTACATATGTACATATGTATTATTACACATACATATCTACATGTAATACACTCGAAGAGGCTTGACATCCCAATATGCACAAAGCAAACATTTTTCCAACTTTTACATTTTTCCCAAGGTTTGACTAAAAGTTGAATAAAGTTAGAATTCAAATTGATAACCGAGCTTTTCTCAAATCGATAACTCAGATTATTGAGATTGCATGCAAAAAATGTGCTCTTTTGTTAGAGAATGGGTTGGTTATCCAATTGAGGTACACTTGAAAACCAACCTTGGAATTTGTTTTGGATCTCCACTTGATCATCAATCCAAATGTTCATTGGGATTGCTTGCTAAGAGCCGACCGAAGCAGAAGCCGACCCTGGATGCTATCGAGTGGTATTATCATGCACACCTCTAACTACTACTACTGCGGCTGCAGCCTGCAGCCTGCGCCTAAACTAGAGCTCTTATTAAAAATCGACTAACCGGTTATTCGATGAGTCGAATAGTCGAATAGCAACTTTTTGTCGAATCGTATATGTACGATTAACCATTCACTTTCGACTAACCACTCACCATTGGGTAGGCTGGAAAACGACTAACCGAAATTATTCGAATGGTGACAGTTAGATTCTGTCAATAAGGTTGGCCGTTTTTTACAGTGGAGAGTTAATTCACATTCAGCAGGGAGCGATAGATTTTCAGTTCAAATAGAATGTTAGTTAACTATGCACTGTATAAACAGCTCCTTAATAAGGCTCATATAATCCCAGCTAAGGAGACAAACAACAGCTTAAATGCGAACGACCTCGCAGGCACGTCAGAAATCATTTCTGGGGATCCTAGAGACCTACGCCATCCACTGAACCATTACTGGAAAGTCAATCAACTTCTTCATAAACTCTTGCGCTCTGAATGCCGCCATCAGAGCCTAAACACGGCTAAACGCAAACTGAGAG